TTTAAATAGATTTTTCGTATGGTACCACGTGTTACTGTACATGCTACTGCACATGTTCCAATCAATTTATTATATTTTACTACATAATTTCAACAAGTTACTACATGTTACTGCTGTTTTCTATAAAAATGGAAGCATGTACTTTATATAAAAAACAGCAGTAACATGTAGTAACATGTTGAAATTTTCAACATGTTGCTATGTGTTACTGCTGTACATTATATAAAGTGTACATACTTCAATAATTATAAAAAAACATCAGTAACTTGTTCAAATTATATAGTAAAATATAATATATACATAGTAACATGTGCAGTAACATGTACAGTAACATTTGGTAACATGTGCAGTCCCTATTTAAAATTTGTTTATATCATATCTCACACTCTTCCTTCTATGATAATTATAACGATTTACTGTTACAACGAAATAAGCACTACTCTGTTACACAAGGATTACCGAACGTGGTATGTTGGAGTGTGACACCCCCCCCCCGCCTCCCCCCCCCCACACCCACTTCTTAGAAATCTTGTCGGCAAAATGGAGATTATGTAGGAAAAACCGTGACCTGTTGGCAAATTAGTTGGTAAAATAGAGTTGGTTGGTAATGCGAAGAGGATGTAGAGGAACACCCCCACCTCCCACAATCCCCCTTTGGGGCGCTATGGTCTCTGTACGTCAATGCTGTTACAGTTGACATCAACAAATAGGACAGTATTACACTTTCCCTAATAAGATATATTCATAGAAAAATTGCATGTCTTGTTATGCAGATTGTTATTACCACACAAACTTCAAACGCATAAATGAAATGAAATTTTGGATATAATTTAGCTGTAGCAGCAACGTTTATATAAATAAATTAATACGGTTAGATGTATATGTAAACTTCAAATATATTTCAAGGAACTCGAAGGCTAACTAATGTCATAACTTACTTAACCGATATTGAAACGGTCAAAATTAAACACTTTGAGGTATCCCGTCGCTAAACAGTTTGCCCACACCACCCTGAAGCTCCCCCCGGCAAAAAAAATACACAGCAACCTTGCACAAGGTAAATAAAGTAATTTCAGTCAAAAAGAGAATCAGGTTTTATAATATAGTTACCTTTGTTCTGGGTCGAAAATGACTAAGTGCCATACTTTTATAGACTGTACCTCACACTGAGGACAAAGTACCTCACACTGAGGACAAGGTTCCTCACGCTGAGGACAAGGTTCCTCACGCTATGGAGAAGGTTTTCCGAAATTTTCAAGAAAATTTTCATTTTTTCGCCAAATCCGAAATTTTCAAGAAAATTTTCATTTTTTCGCCAAATCCGAAATTTTCCAGAAAATTTTCA